CTTATTTGTTGCAACAACTATATAAAATTACAATAACTATTTAATTCAAAACTGTTATTTTTTTGCAGAAAAGAATGGAAACTTAAAAAAAGAATATACTTCAAAAGAATTTTTATTCCTCTACAATCAGTTGTTACATTTAAATTGCACTTAAAATCAACGTTACAAAATTTGTATAATTTGGAAATAAATATTAAAATTAATTTTCTGAAAAACTTTGTTTTTGAATCAGTGTTGAGTATAGTAGCAAATAAGCGACATCAGTTATAAATTGAACAAGGCACAAAAATATATTCTTAATATAATATTTAATTAATTCTTGTGTATATTGAACTTTAATTTATTATTACGTTAAACTATATATGATTTAAATTGTAATTTATTGTTTCTTCTGTGTCAAAGAATTTGCATATAAACATATTTATAATAATATAAAATTTAATATACTATATTATTTTCTCGTAACTATTTTATTTATCTATTTTTATAAATAATTGTATGCGATTATTTTGTATATATTAATAATTATAATTACATAATTATTGCTTCTTTGGAATTATTAATTCTTTTTATATTATAGGGTACTCATATCATGCAGGATACAGGTACTTACGTATTACAGTGGCAAAATCAAGAGGATCAAGTCGAATTTCTTCCATCCATTAGTTCTCATAAGGCTCAACTTATGTACTTTTATGAAACATTACCAGCTGCACATTACAGGTACTTATACATATAAGATGTATATTTTTATTTTTATGTAGAATAATCTTATAATGGTACTTTTTTTTGGCTTCCTTTAGAGGTTCAATGATGAGTTTACAGTCAGCCATAAGCGGAAGGTCAGAAGCTAGTTCATCCTTATCCAGATGAAAAGCAATGAGTACGAATGTTGAATTGCAGGAGACATGAAAACAAATTTTATTCGTAATATTTTAGCAATATGTGTTGTAAAAACACGAATTTATTGTTTAACGAAGCTAAAATACAATTCATATTTTAGTCTGATATTTTTATTTTGTTGACGCGGTGAAGCTTCTCTCTTTATTCATAAACAATTCAGTATTGTTTCAAATCTTAAGCCTAAAATACTCATTTCCATAGCTACATAACCGATGTTATCATATTATATATATAGCTGTTAAGCAATAATACAGTATATAATAATGTTGTCTAATATATTTAAACTTTATTTTTTCATATAAAAATAAATTAGATGAAATTTAATACTCAGAATAGAGTCATATGTACATTTTAGAGATTATATTGTAATATAAACAGTAGAAAACTCACTGCAAGAGCATATTATAGTTTTAAGCTCCAAAGTGGACGATAATCCAAATTGTGCAAGTGAATTGTGATTTAATATTAATTTATATACATATATATTTACATAAAGAACACGGGTAACAGAAAACGTTCTTCCCTCATAAACTTACATTTTACTAAAATTTTGTCTTAAAGAAAAATGCATAAGCATACTAATTTTTATAGCATAATAGTAATTTTATATATTATAGTGAAACCCCATTACATTCCATTGTTGAGTGATAGAACACATTATGCTATATTTATATCATTTTTTACATACTTCCACAAAACATATTATGCAAGAAGATTAATAATCATGTAATAACAAGTTCTCTAATTAGATAATTGATAAGAATTATAGTTTAGAATATATTAATTTATTATTGATATCTTGTTCGAATTAAACATTAGCAGTAACTATAGTTTCAAATAAAGCTACTAAAAAATTAATAAGAACATAATATATTTAATAATTTATTATGTGCCAAAACAAATGTAAAAACTAATAAAAAATATTTTCAGTACAATAGAACAAATTTTATCATAAATGAAAGTGGAAGAAAACTAGTTTTGAGATAACAATATAATTGTATACAGAATATAATTTATCAATTATTTATTAAATATATGAATGTTTTGGCAGTAATATAATATTTTAATAAATCTGTTATTGTTCATTTTCTGGTAGTCTTTAAACGAGAGTCCTTAATTTTAGATGTATAAATTATCTAATAAGTTAACGTAATGATATGTAAATTAATAACGATTAATTAATTCTAAAACGCAGGATACTCGAAACATATAAATTATAAATAATTATAGTCAATTACAGTGTATAATATAAAAATAATGTTAAGAATGCTCATACTTTCGATGGCAAATATTATATGGAAATATAAGCTGAAAAAGCTTTCGTGTAAGAAACTATCTTTAATCATCAAAAGACATAATTTGTGAGAACACAAATTCTATTATCAATTCATTATATCAATAAATAGAAACATCTTTCTATGTGTCTTCTTACCAAATTATGTCTTGATTGCTGATTACAACTAATAGTTCAAGTGAGAAAACATATTTTTCAAATGCAGATTTTTAGAATGAATACAGATGTGTTTTTACTAGGATATATAGCGAAATGAAATTATATGGCCGGCCAATAATTGTTAAATAGTTAGATAAAGATATCACGTTTATCGTTTATCACGGTAAGATATAATTAGCTATTTTAAAATGTAGTATAACTAGTATACGTAAAAAGTGTAACAGATTATTATATTATGTGAAGAAATAAGATGTAAGTTGTATGAGAGTATACAACTTATTGTTTTAATAAGACAGGAAAAATTTGTAGAATTTATTACTTTTCCATAGTATGCAGTTTGTGTCTTCTTTACTACTAGAAACTATGTAGCAACTCAGAAATTATAACATTGTCTCAAAGTAGGGGAAAAATTATGTATGTCACTAATTTGAAATGTCACATAAATGTAGCGACGTAGTTAGTAGTACTGTTATTTCCATTGTCATCACACACAACGTTGAAGGCAATAAAGTTCAAACAGATTTATTCAAGGATTATTATTGAATAAAAAACCCGCTTTCAAATTTTAATATTTTATAACCAGTAAATAAATGTGATACATACTAGGGGATTTTCCTGAATCAGGATAAAGAAAGTAACAATAAGTATAGTTTAACAATTTCTTTGTAGTTTTTTTATAACACTTCTATAATTCATATGGAGTCTATGGAGAGTATATATACTTCGCAACCGTACATTTACGCATTCATTGTGTACAGAGTAATATATGTGTGAAATTGTTCGACATTACTAGACTAGGGTATACATATACACATGTAGTATATATTCCCAGAGCTATATATATCCTTACATATATCATGCAGGAACTCTATTTTTCAATCCATCTTAAGAAGAGATAAAATATAAAATTATTTTGTATTAAAAGTTATTACGTAAAAAATTCGCTCTTCGTATAAAAACAAAGAGACGAAGTACAAAAATTGTACAAATCGTATTTCTATTTACCTGCACGCATATAGCGTTACGTCATTTTACAACGTGACTATTTGTTTAAAAAGATTAAAAATGTAATACAGTAAGTATATTATATATTTTTTTTTGTAAATTAGAAAATCTTAATATTTAAACTTTTTTCTCAACATATCCATATCTAATATAACTTATTGAATGAATAAATGAACTATTTGAAATATAAACAATGTGTATACATAATAATATATTATTATAATAAATTATACTTTTCTTTCATTCTTATAAAAAAATAAAAAAATTACAAATATATTATCTTCATCACTTTTTATGAGATATACTCATCATGTTTCTTAATAAACACTATATTGAATAAAAGATATGCAGAACAATCTTACAAACAAATTTATAATAGTTTGTAATGATAAATTAATAATTCAAACAATGTGTGTATGTAATATATATGTAAATATCTGGGAGATAGTTTGGAATGTTTTTTCCATTTATTAATCTTCGATTTTAGGCATTATAAAAAAGATTATTGTGATTACTATATCACAATGATTTTAAAAATGATATAAGTATATCAAAATAATTAATGATTATGCTTGAATTATACAAAGACTTATAACAAATTATTATATTTTAAAGAGAATAATTCATGTAAAATAATATGAATATTTGTAAATGGAAGCTTTTTGAAATTTTTAAATATATTTTCTCGCAAATATCAATTCTGTTTTTACTGGACTTAGAATATATCAAATGGAGTATATAAAAAATTGATATTGTGGCTATTATGTATGACTTTGACTATAAAATTAAAAAATTATTATATATATTTAAATTTCATGACTAAAATATTAAGAAAGATGTATGTAATACAAATTCTTGGCAGGACTCTTTTGGTGAAAGAATATCCATATAATTATAGTCAAAGATATATATAACTTAATGCAACGTTATTATACTTTGGCATTTCTCTTTTTAAACTTCTTCATAAAAATGCTAATAGTATCAAGCAGAATTGGGAAATAACACGTTACTTGTAACGCTATTACCGTCATTTTTTTAGTAACAAATTTGTAACGACGTTATATTTTTTATTAATAACAATAATAAATAACGTAATTACTAATTACGTTTTTTGTATAATGGTAACGAATTTTATCGTTATTTTGTACAATACGTGTGTATTGATATAAGCAAGTTTTTAAAAAAGGGAATATTATAATGTTTGACTGTATTGCGATTAATCATATAATAGTAACCCTATATTTTTTGTTAAACCGGTCATCAGTAATTGGACGTTACTCTAAGAAAAAGATCGTTAAAATTTGGAAATTGTAATGACTCACTACTTTTGAGATAACGATAACAGTAACAAATTACTTTTTCCAATAGGTAACGAGCAACGGTAACGAATTACTTTTCTGAACGAATAACAGTAACAATTAAATTGTTGCTAGAAATTATCTTTTAAAAAAAGACATTAAATACACGCGTATTCCTCAAAAAATAAATGTTATATAAGTACTTTTCAAAAATAAAACCAAGTGGTATGTATAATTCAATAGTAACTTTAATTTTTCGCTAAAAAAATCACGATATCACAAAATTGCGTCAATTAAAATTTTTGCACATTATATTATTTAATGCAATCAAAGTGATTCAATGAATAATATTTAACAATAACGAGTTAAATTTTCAAGTAACTTTCCCAATCCTGATGTCAAGTTAGCATAACATCTGTTTGTCTCGACCTTGAAAAAAATCTTAACTTTTTCAGTTCCATGATTTAACATTGTCTTATATATTCTGAACTATAATTTCTACATATTAATTAATAGGTAGAGGTCACTAATACATACTGTAATATTTGGCAGAAAAATACATCGGATAGGCAAATCTCCTCAGAGTATAATATGAAATAAATATCTGACAATATATAAAAATCTCTTTTGGCATATTTTTAAGTACTGGTAACACCTTTACGAGCTACTAAAAGATTTAATACTGGATGCTTTCTTATATAAGAAACCGCTTTCTTGTGAGTTACCATTGTAAAATCATATCCATTACATTGCAATATCTTGTCATGCATTCTGAGACCACTTTTTGCCGCCGGTGATCCGTCGTGTACTTCTGTTACATATATTCCCTAGAAAAGATTCATTTCTATAAGTTCTTTTATGTTATCTTCATATAGTATATAGTTTATATAATAACGCTATATTTTCTACATACACACAAAATATGATATCTTACATTATCTGTATAACCCTGTGGACTTTTTGTAAAATCCTGATCAATACCCCCACCAATTTTAAATCCACATTTCATTACTTCTTCACCGTTTTCATTAATTTCTGTTTCTTTGTGTAATGTAATTGGTATCTATAACAAATCAATAAATATACACGTAACATATATAATGCAAAAAAAAAAATATATATATATATATATATACAGGGTGTTAGTTAAGTATGTTCCCAAACTCAACAGAGCAATTCTTTGGTTTAGTTCAAGTAAAAAAATCCATATAAACATGTGTCCTAAACGACTTAGTTTCCGAAATACAGGTGAATGTTCGCAAATGTTTGACGAAACGATAAATTGCGTTGGAGATATCTTCCTGCATAAATATGCCTTGCTTCATGTGAGTTACTATTCGCACAACCGTAAAGTGACAAAGTCAAAGTCACAAAATAAAAAATAGACTTTAGTCCTGATGTTGCTGCAAGTCAGTTAGCTTGAACATACGTTTTCGGGCCAAATTGTTTCAAATCCATTAAAATCGGTTTCATCATGCCTAAGTTTAAATTTTGAAATGACAGATATTTCCATCCCAATTGAGAATGAGAATGATTTGAGGAATCGAATAGTTGCTTTATGCGGGACAATATGTAACACACCTGGTATCTTTGAGCGTGTACGTCAATCTTTGAGAAGAAGGCTCGATGGATGTATCATGGAGCAAGGTGGACATTTTCAACAATTCATCTAATTGTTTTATTTCATCAGAAGAACTGAAGCCTGTTTTTGTTTTTCTGTTTTTGACTAGTTTTTGACTAGTTCAAGTTGTATTTCTTTCAAATAAACAGATTATTACTACACGTTTAAATTTTTTTATTTCAGAAACTAAGCCGTTTAGGACACATGTTTATATGGACTTTTTTTACTTGAAATAAACCAAAGAATCGCTCTGTTGAGTTTGGGAACATACTTAACTAACATCCTGTATATACATAATACACAAATATAAATATAAAAAAGGTAATAAATGAAAGCTGATGAGTCGAGTTGATTCTTCATGCTAATGTATATTACAAGATAGTAAGTACATACAAATTAATAACAAAGTCACTTTCGACATTCAACATATGTGGTCACCTTCAGTATGCTAATTAAGTAAATTAATCAAAACAAAATTATATAGATATTTAAACAATTAATTGTAAAACTATAAATATTGTAAATGTGCGTCAAACCACAATTTTTAACACTCTGCAAACAGTTTCAAGAAAATTAATTTTTAATTTTTGCATCAATATTCCATATTTGAGCATCTATATTTTATTTTGTTTTGATTATTTGACTTGAAATTGACACTAAAGATGACCATATTAAAGGTTGAAATATATCTGACTTTATTAATTCATATTTAATAACTTGTAATACATACTTATTAGCATTAATACGAAAAACAAACTCACAATCAGCTCATCGGCCCTTATTTATTATCCTTCATTTATCCATTTATTAAACTTACAAGCCTAGAAATCAATTTTTAATTTTTTAAAAAGGATCTGTTATTGCAATACTTATATATCCGTTCTTTTTAAGCACAGTTTTCCAAAGGAATAGACATCCTTATAATCAAAACTATAATACTTAATCTACTCCTTAAATACAGTAAAACTCAAGCTTCATTAAAAAATTTCTGTCATTGTTGTAATACAAGCCCTTTACTATCTCGCACATCTATTAATATTACATTATATTAAAATATTGTATGTATTATATAAAAAAAATTCTGAACTTTTATTGCGAGATAGAAATAAGACAACCCGCTATAGTTTGCTAACAGTAAAGGGCGTGTGTCGTGAACAACTATGTGACAAAATCTAGACAAAATCAGGATCCCTACGCTTAGGCACTCCATCGCGGTACCCGGCTGATGTTGAAAAGCCATTTTCGCGCACATAATCAAGTTACTCGGGCTCTGCCACGCGCTCTTTCCTTTTTATAATAAATTCCCTCCCTGACTCAAGTTCAACCGACCGATGACGCACCACTAATCACGACTAATAACCAATCCACGGCCCGTTTCTCGACAATATGTACTGCGCAATATGCGATTCAAATGAACGAGAAATTTGCCCGCTAATGAACGTCGGAGCAGCAAGACTTCTTGTCAATCTCGGAGCGCGAACAGATGATCGCTTAAAGCGGATCTACATCGAACAGAACTCAACGTCTTGACAGCCATGCGTAAAGTGCAAGAATTGGCTTAGTTTCCACCGAGAGTTTAAACCGGATCAGAATGTAAGAACCAACCAATTACAGTCGAGCATTCCCCTGTCGTTCGACTGTAACAGGGGAATACTCGACTGTAGTTGGTTGGTTCTTACATTCTGATCCGGTTTAAATCCTCGGTGGAAACTAAGCCAATGACCATGCGCGTGCAATCACAGCAATCGATGCGTTCCAAAACCTATCTAGAAGGGAAGTGTCTGATTACTTTGTCGCGAGTGTACGTAATTTTTATGTAATTATATATTCGTTGAATAAAAAGTATTTTACGAAAATAAAAGAAAAAATACGATGTCTCTTCAATCATCTAACAAATCCATTCCATATTCAACCTAGCATATATATGTTTTTTCGACACGATATGAAATAAACACTTCTAGGTTATAATGTTATATATTTTATATACTTTTTTCTTTAAATAATAATTCTAATAAGCGTTTAACAAATTTTTAAATATAAAACAGCAATTGTTTACGTATAAAGTATTAATAAAGTATTTTTAACGAAAAAAAAGAATAAATACCTTTTATTAAAAAGAAATATTTAATTTTTTCACTACCCAGTAGAAAGAGAGAGAGCATTAAAATATTTTATAATTAAATTTAATTTATTAAGAATCTTTTTTGACTAAAGGAAAAAGTTAAGCATAAACTAGTCTGAAAGAAAAGAGAAAAAAATAAAAGAATGATGTTATGTTCAATAGGAACAGACAGTGATTTGGAAAGCACTGCCAGATTTCACAATTACCTATAAAGAGATGCTGAAGCATAATTTCTTAAAAACATCATGGTGTAAGTTGCGCACGCGATATATACACAAGAATGTTTCTCTCTCAGAGGCATCTAAAAGTAAAGAGTGTGCAACTGCAAAGATACGTAATATCGGCATACTGGCACATATTGATGCTGGTTAGTATTATTTTGATTGATTACTCTAGTAATATTACTTTATTAATTATAGTGAATAAAACGTACTTGATTTGTTTTGATGGATATATTTAGATACAAATAACTATATTCTTCAGGAAAAACGACCACAACTGAAAGGATGTTATACTATTCGGGTCTCATCAGAAATATGGGAGAAGTTCATCATGGCAACACAGTGACCGATTATATGGAGCAGGAACGTCAGCGTGGAATAACAATCACCTCAGCTGCAGTCACGTTCAATTGGAAAAACTATCGTTTCAATTTAATAGACACCCCTGGTCATATTGACTTTACTATGGAAGTCGAGCAGACTTTGCAGATATTAGATGGTGCAATTGTAGTTCTAGATGGATCTGCTGGTGTGGAAGCCCAGACATTAACAGTTTCCAGACAAGCAGACAGGTATAATATACCTCGGATAATCTATGTTAACAAAATGGACAGGGCAGATGCTGATTTTAATATGAGTTTACAGTCTATTGAATCCAAATTAAATGTAGAAACACTACCTGTTCAGATCCCTGTAGAGAAGGCAGGAGTCTTAGAAGGTATTATAGATATAATAACTATGGAAAAATTAATATTCGATAAGAAAAATCAAGGTATGCATTTAATAAAAACAAAAATAGCTGAAAGCGAAGACGCAAGATTATGGAATGTTGCCAGTGAACAGCGACGACTATTGACCGATAAACTGTCAGGCTTAGATGACAAACTGGCAGACATTATTATAGAGCAAGAGTCTCTGGATAACGTACAGCCACAAATGTTGGTCGATTCCTTACGTAGAGTCACTATAGGTAGGAAAGGTGTGCCTGTAATGTTAGGAAGTTCCTATAAAAACATTGGAGTACAGCCTTTAATGGACAGCATCATTCTCTACCTACCGTCGCCTACGAATGTAGATCAATTGAATCCATATCGGTGCTTTGAGAATAATTTAGCAGCCAGAGTTTTCAAGATTGTTCATGACAAGCAAAGGGGACCAATCACTTTTTTCAGGATCTATTCTGGCAATATGAAAAAGAGTCAAAAACTGTATAATGTAACGCGTGGGCAAACCGAACAGTGTACTCGTCTATACATTGCTTGCGCCGACGATTATGAGGAGGTAACCGAAGTGAGTTACGGTAATATCGCGGCTGTAAGTGGACTAAAGAGTACTATCACGGGCGATCTAATAACGACAAGTCAATCCATAGCCAATCATGCTAAACAGATTATGCTCAAGAAGGACCCGAAGCAACTAGACTACGTGAAGAACTTCTTTGCATCTGGAGTAAACTTGCTCGATCCAGTTTTCTTCTGTTCTATAGAACCACCCTCCCTTTCGGCACAATCTGCCCTGGAGACTGCTCTTCAGGAACTGCAGAGAGAGGATCCTAGTTTGCACGTGAAGAACGATCCAGAGACAGAACAGATTGTTCTCGGAGGGATGGGAGAGTTGCACATAGATATCATTAAGCAAAGAATCAGGACAGAGTATAAGATTGATGTGGATCTGGGTTCCTTGCAAATCGCTTATAAGGAAACGATTCAAGATGCCGTTAAAGATACGCTATCTATGGAGCACAAGATGGGCCATACGACGCATAAAGTTACTATCATTATGTCTTTAATACCTAATTATGAGGGAAAAGAAAAATTGCTTCTTGACAAGTCTCCAGATAATGCTTCAAATATCGATAGTATTCATCCACGGGCAATGAGCGCGATTAAAAACGGTGTGAACGCTGCATTGCTACATGGTGTGAAATTAAGTTGTCCGGTGATTAATGTTGGCGTCAAGCTCCACTGGCTAGAAGTAGCACGCGGTACCTCAGATACCATTATTTCTGCCGCTACCTCACAATGCATTCGAAAGGTCGGTGTATATGATTTCCAAATAAATTCTATTAGTTACAATAATATTATTTGATGTTCATGATTTTATATATATAATCATTGCGTATTATATTATTATAAAAAAAAGGACACATTATTATGTTGCATTTAAGTAAATACGAAAATTTTATATTTTTTAATTTGAAGACAAACTACTGATTTTTTTTATATTCAATAGGATATTTAAATAACAATGTTTTTTATATGTGCACAGTTATTACAAGATGGAAATAGCATGTTATTAGAACCCATAATGCAACTGGAGATCGTTGCACCAGAGGAATATTCATCGAGTATTAATTCTGATCTTACTCGTAGACGAGCAGTAATACAACAAATTGATATGCGTGGCAATAATAAAGTGAATAAATTATATAATTATTATTATTGTTTGACAAAATGTGACTAAATTTGTATCTCATTTCATAGGTGATCAGAACTCTTGCGCCATTATCGGAATTATTGGGATATTCAACAACATTGAGAATCATCACATCGGGCAATGCAACATTTTCATTAGAATTTAATCACTATCAACTAATGGCCTCTATCGACGAAGAACAAGCTATCGAAAAAATTAAAGGATTTTAAAATGAATACTACTTCTATTAATAGTAGAAGCAATAAACAAAGAGATAATATTACTGAAAGTACAATTTCACTTCATTTTATTGACTCAATCTAATCAAAATATATTGCAACATTATCATTGGTGCGTTACAATCTCCATATACAATTCTCAATAGCGACTACTAAATATGATACAGAAAGCTTTTTATAATAAGCCGGAGCAGAAAAATCGCTAGCTATCAGAAAATCATCATTACAGCTTTCATTCATGCATCATAACTAGTAGTCGCGCATAAATATATTAATATTGCTTAAGATCATGCAAAAATGTCATACGTCGTAAAATATATGTATATATTATATTGTATGGAGGGATTAAATGTTATAATGTCGCGTGAGACTGGAAAAACGACAGCCGCGTATAAAAATTTATGCCAACGCAGATAACACGAAAGCGAGATTTTCTTTTTAACGTAAAAAATATTTTTAGCGAAAAAATATTGGAGAAAAAATTTAGGAATTCCCGCATTCGTGTAATTTTTATTCATCCGCCCTATAATATTAAATATACATTTAAATTATGCAAACTGTTGATCTATCTTAAGCGCAATTCAAAGAGCTCTTAAGACTCTTAATGTACTTAAAAGTTTGAGCTAAAATCTTGTTTTGTCTTATATTTTAAATTATTTTCACAATAGAATTATAGTATAAAATTTCACTTGTCTCATTGAATCGCTTACAAAACGACAAATCTTACATTCATTATTTCTAATTCGTTATTTTAAATATACTTATATCACTTGTATGCAGACATTATTGCTCATATCTGCGACAATTTTCTTTAAGGCGCAAATAACTATCGTTTTTTCTCTTCAAATATATTTTTCTTGCACCTACAATTTATATTTACAACAAAAAAAGATTATTTCATTATACAAAGTGACAATTTAAAATTTCAATTGACAAGATTCACCTATCAAGAGGGAAATATTTCATGTATACAAAGTTACAATTAAAAATGTCATATATACAAAGTTACAATTAAAAATTTCAGATTGACAAAATTCATCTACGAATAGGAAAGTACTGAGAATCAAATATCTATTCGCAGACTATTAAAATCTGAATACACAAATTTTTTCTATGTATGTGCTCGCAGTGCACGTAGAAATTTTGAAAGAAAGATACAGTTGAAAAGAAAAAGCGTTAGCTATTCATAAGCAAAATCGCGTGAAAGAACTTTTATTAAGAGTGACAAAAAAAATTTCGTTGTAAAGAGCACGCGCATAATACTTCTGCTCCCTCTAGTAGAAATCCTTCACGTCATGGTACTCCCATATTTATTCGGGATCGTTCTCTTCGTTGGACCCGTGCTCCACCATGTCGTCGTGGCGTCACAAGCTTACAAGCTTTGGGGGATTCGCATCTGGGGAGCTGAGATCCACGGCGGACAAATTGCTTCTCTGTTGCGTCGAGCACGACGGTATCAGAGGCGTCGAGACTGGTGTAAGACCAGTACCACCTTCCATTAGGGACTCAAAATTAAACGGAATGCCGCTAGTTGGAGTGGTAATCGGCATACCGGCTACATCCATCGATGACTTCATGAAGGATGGTGTTTCCACCGTCTTGAAAGCAAGCGTGTCTGGTCTTTCTTTGGGCTCCACGAACATTGTCAGGGAATTCAGTCTGTTATTGTTGTCCAATCCGACTGGTAATGAATTAGGTCTATTCGGTCTCGTTGCCGCGGCTACCGTTGTCTCGCCTTTCACAGATTCGGCGGCAAATTGATCCTCGACCGAAAGATCGGTCTTTATCACGGGTTTTATATCTAATGGAGACGAGGGGCGTAGCGAACGGCGACAGACTGCTCTGTGGGCGTCCAAAATGAATTCCAGTTCATCTTTGACCTGCTTCAGCTGTTCGATCTCATCCTGCAAGTTTTGCTTCTTTTTTTCCAAACCCTCGGTTTCCTACAAAAAAGATTCAAGATCTTTAGATAATGTCAAGCTCTAAGGCGGCAACTCTAGACGCTCAATATTGTATAATTATGTTGTACAATATTATTGATGCTTTTTTAAATTCAAAACAAAGGAGGCTCAATATGGCCTGTAGACAATTAGTAATATATTGTGCAACATCAAATACTGTTCAATATTGATCTTCTAAGAACCGCTTAAAAATGTGAAAGCTATGAAGAAGACTGGAAAATTCAATATTCTAAGTCACGCAACATTATGTCCATAATCCGCGTACTTACTTCGAGTAGGGCATTGGTATGATCCATTCTTCGCTTGCGGCATCTCGCCGCTGCCATCTTGTTCCTTTCGCGCCGAATCTGTCGCCTCTGCTCTTCCTCGGGGGACATCCCGATCGTTCTGGTGGGCCGCCTGCCACCCATATTGCGTCTAACTGGTTGCTGTTGCTGCTGTTGCGGTTGTGTTTGCTGCTGGGTCTCGATAAGGGTGGTCGTCGGCGCCGGAAGATGTACCGCCGTTGTGTTTTGCGTCTGTGCTGGAGTCGGCTGTGACGGTTCGACCAGCGGCGGCACAAAGCCGGCTTCGCGACTGTGCGACGCTGACTCGCTTGTCAGCTCCAGGAACGTCTGCTCGATGCTGCGGAGGGTGGTCGGCGTCAGCGTCGGCGTCGTCCTGGTCGGCACTCCGCTATGTAATCCGTCCAGAGATACCAGCTACAACATAAAGGATAACGGATCGTGTTGATTAAAAGTATATCCAAAATCTCTTTTATAAAAACATTTACAATTTTTTATTATATTATTCATAACTACACTGAGAAAAATTTGTAACTGAAAATGAACGAACCAGAAAATTATGATTATATCAATCAGAATTCTGATTATCTCAACTAGAATTATAATAGATTTAATCAGAAAATTCTGATTTGTTCATTTTCAACCAGAATTCCAATTAATGCAATCAGACGTTTTTCAGTGTAAAGAATAGTATCTGATTTTATAAAGTATCAGTGAGATAAGATTAATACAAATTTCACGAGTTATCAGGTGATGAACTAAACTGCAATGTTTTTACGAATTTTGGCACTCTAATAATGGATCTAAATATGTGGAGATAAACGTATAGCTTCTGTACAGAAAGTAAGTATACCCGTGGAAGCATTAATAAAAATTGTATAAGCGGTTTAGTACAACCGTTAACAAGAATTAACTATTTACTTCTTGCTGTCTACTGTTCCAGTTTCGTCCAAAATCACAGAACGTGACCAACTACTTGATTTTGCGGTATAAAATTTTCTGCGCAGTGTTCTTTTACCGGAAAGAAACTGCTACTAACGTAGGTGCGGTATCGCGTTATCTTCGACTTTCCAGGTCCGATATCAACCTGGTTAATCTCACCAAGATGGCTTGATTAAAAATATCCATGATCCAATATAGTCGATAACATATCATCGCGCTAGCGAGATAGATCGCTCGTTCAGAATTATATGATTCCACGCACGATTATTGGAATTACAAGACGCTCACGTCTCGTGATTTAATTCGCGAAAATATCCGCGCGTCTTTTCCTCGCGTTCCGCGTCTCTGGCGGCAATTTACAAACGCCGCGCCAGCGGTACACGTGCGTTATAACGTTACGCAATACTATAATTCGCGTCGAATTAAAAACGTCGTTTCCATGCGGCGGCGAGACGATAAAAAAGATTCGCGGTCACTCGAACGCGATTTCACCGCAAGAGAGGTGGGGCATGGCAGAGGAAGAAGGGAGACCAGGGAGACGGACTTTACACGAGCCCGTCGTTCTTCCTAACTACGACTGTATTAACGAGCAACTCGAATCGCAGCTCACGTAGCGACAACCTCGCGCGCCATTATCGCGCCGCCAATCGCCAGTCGGGGACGTAATCTATACGCGTTGCGCGTTTCCCAGAAAACACAAAAGGACGCAGGAAGGAAAAGAGAAGCCCCGCGGCGTCCTTCGTTCTCCTGCGCGCCGCGCCGGAGAGAAGACGTGCCGCGCGGCTCGCTATCATTTCTAAAATTACGAATCGCCATCCTCCGGCCGTTTAATGAAGGCCACCGCCGTCGACTTCGCCTCGCGATGAGAAACGTCGAACCACTGCGTACATTTAAAAAGTACGCAGGGCTCAAATTTACAATATATGTGTAAACAAAAAAAGGCACCCAAGATCCTATGTATTCATTTACCTCTTCTATATTCAACGAGATGTTATTTTCATTGAGAAGTTGTCTTAATTGTTTCCTATTTCTAAATGCCTAATTCTAATCAATGAAATAGCGTAGGACAGTAATAATGTTTCACGTATTTTTTATACTGCGATTTATAACCTTTACATTACAATGGGAAACACAAAGCAACATAAAAAAATTTTGCTTTGCATCGACATATAAAATATGCAAAGCAATATTTTTTTAACATGGTTATTTTATATGTACAACAACAAAACAAAATAACCGTGTTAAACAATCTAAATAAGAGAACATTTTTTTCGGTCTTGAAACAATCGTGAGCAGACCCAGAGTAGTAACATCACTTATTAAATTGACAAGCAATTAATATCTTTTGATGCTAATAAGCATCTTTATAAGAATTTTGAATCTGCAAATAATGTTTAAAAAATATTGTTTTGCATACTTGACGTACTGGTGCAAAATAAGATTTTTTTTTTTAATATGCAGTATCGATTAGTGCATCTTTTTCGACGAGATGCTTTCGGACGAGAGAAAATACCGTAGGCAGGCGCTTTAAGTGTCATCGCTAAAATTACTTAGCGCAGCTCGGAACGGCTTCGCCGATTTCGGCCGTCGTCGTTTGGCCACCCACCGACCGGCCACGCTTCTTTCTCGCACCCATCGCGAACCATCATGCGGAGAACTTAAGGAATGTCCGGAGCGTTAAACTTAGGCGTTACCGAATCGTGTCCGTGCGCGTAGCGGCGTCGCGGTTACTGGAATTTCGATCCTGTGTGACGAGATGTCGAAGGTAATCCTGGAAATTAAAAAACTTGCCGGGAGCGACCCATTGATTTGATCGATAGAAATCGTAATGTTCGCATCATGCTCTTTCTCGAAATCGGTGATTATCCATTATTTAATAAATCATTAGCAAGCTTGGAAACGATATCGTGTCGCGAAAAAGAGTTACAACTTTTGAAAGAACTTTTAACTCTCCGTCTACAATCCGGATCTTTTTTGGTACGAGCGAAATTTTACTGTCAAATTTCTCCAAAATAAAGAAAGATAAAATCTAGTTCTCTTATTGCTACACATTTTTAAACAAATTTTCCATTTTTCCTTATTTGTGCTCAAATTTCAATTTTTGTTAATTAAAGGTTTTAAATTTAAAAACCCAGATTACAGACGGAGGGAGTAAAAATATGATTGCAAATAGAAGGTTAAAGAATGCAAAAAATTACAAATCTTATATGATGACGGTACATATATTAGCTATTAATTATGATTTTATATGTCTAATAGAACTGCGCAACTTCGTTTTATTATGCCACTTTTGTCGATCCTCCGATTGATAAAATGTAGCATAATATAAATAATCATGTTATTTCACAATATTCGTTTACGATTTATATTAAAGTTGTTTACATGATATGCATGTTTGAAGATGTTAATCCTTAGAGCAGAATACCTTATCTATAAAATCATCACATATTTTTTTCACTACCAAGTTTTTTCGGATTTTGATCAATTTTCTCGATCTCCACGGCAATATGGAGGTTTTAACTAAAAAAAAAAAAACTTTTTTGTAAATCTTACACGGTCTGCAACACGGGTTGTTGAGAATACATATACAGCTTCTATTCGTCCTTACAGCAAACCAAACAACTGGATACTGGCGTCTTTGTATATACAATCTCAACATTATTAAGTATTTTAGGAGACAATATCGAATCTATTCTTTTTCTTAAAATCTACAATAAAAAAGTCTACGTATCTTTAAAAACTCCATATTACTGATGGAGGGTTAATTTAATGAATTTGGAGAATCTTCGAGAGCAAATCGACTTATCGGACATTATTTGATTTCTGTCGAAACAGAAACGCTGAAGAATCACACAATGAAATCGATAAGTGCGACAATGACAGGAGCCATAGCTTTTAACGCGTTCAGATTCAGAGCAATAGTAGAACATAAACTGAAAAATCCGCGGAACCATCTGTTTTCTTATTCAAAATTTAAATGCAGAGAAAAAGAAATTTG